CGCTGATCCTGAGCAGTTTTAGAACTGCTTCCGATTCTGGCTTCATTCTTCCTCTTTTAAATAAGGTGGAGATAAAAAATTCAATAACATAAATTATTGACATTTTTATCTCCACCTTGTCATTTTTTTTAGAAATTGTCCATGGAGTGGTTTGTCACTCCACGATTCTTTAACAGTTTTTGTGTCACATTTCATGTTTAGTAGCATCAGAAGTTCAATGTCTGTGTTTTTCTGCGTGTTTTGCATAGTTTTCTTTGCAATGCTTCTTGCTACACTAAAAATGCGTCTGTTTTCCATTCTTCGGTCAGATTTCATGGCTTGTTTCATTAGAAGTTAATCTTGATGACTGACTACATACTTTCTCATCCCGAATATTGCATTGTGCCAGGAGGTTTCAATATGTCTGAGACCTCTCCCTCCTTTCTTACGTTACACATTAAGTCTAAGTACATCAGCTCGAGGGTGGGAGACAAGGTGCATTGTTGGCAGTTTTTGTTTTTTCGATTCATGATTTGAATTTCTTGCTCAGCTCAGTTCACGAATTCGAAACTGTACTCGACTACAGGCACCGCCAAACTACCAATTGCAGGTATTTTATTCCTGCAGTTTAGGGTGGCAAGCAGGACAAGTCTCGCTCTATAATACTCCCTGCATCTTTCAATATTTGCAAGTTTTACCTAGCTCAAGATTAATAATCACAGTGGGTATATCAACTTCAATGCTCTCTGACAATGACACTTTCCTTCTCTTTAAATGTATTTTTGTAAACTTGTCAAGACTAAACTTCATGCAGATGTCATTGCTCAAATCATTCACGACTGACAGCATTTGGAAGAGTATCGCTTTATTCTTAGAAAACACCTTAAGATCATCCATGTAAAACAAATGTGATACTGCTATTTCATCACCATGGACCTTGTAACCAAAGTCAGCTTGCCGCGACTGTCTAGACAGTGGGATCGCACTAATGCAAAACAGCAGAGGAAATAGCGAATCTCTTTGACTAGAATACTTCCTGTTTATACTGCTTCATTTACGCTCTGTATTAGTCATCTGGTACTCCACGACTTCATACTAGCCTCACAAAACTCAATAAGTCTAGAATGAAATCGATAGATGTTCAGGGTCTTCAAATTCCAATCGTGTGGTACACTGTTAAAGACTTTCTGATAGTCAATCCAAGCCTTGCTTAAATTACGCTTTCGTTTTTTTACATCATTCAAGACAACATTATTTAGTAGCTAGATTTCCTTGCAGCCATAAGAACCTTTACATCCTTTTTGTTCAATTGTCAACAGATGGTTCCTCTCTAGATGTCAGCTATGGCTGGACATTTTGACAGTTATGGCTGCCGTTACAACTTTGTACAGTACTGGCTGACAAGTGATTGGCCTGTGGTTCTTCGCCAAACAGCTGTCTCCCGCTTTGGGTAGCAAATACGTGATGGCGCATGTGGCCATTTCGGGAGTTCCTTTGGATTTTGTAAACTTTTATTAACAGCCTTTGCTAGATGAGAATGTGATGATGTTAATTTCTTAAAAAATAATTCTGGATTTTATCAATTCCGGGGGATTTCGATTTTTCTATGTTCTTAAGTACTAGGAAGAGGTCCTCTTCCGAGAATTCTTGAATATGTTTCACTGATTTCACAAGAACATTGGCAGCACAAACTTCAGATTGAAGCCAAGATGCGTCATAATTGTACGATCTGCTTTCCTCCCAGATTCCTACCCAAAATGCTTCGATGTCATCTTTTGAAGGTGGATCAGTATTGTCTTTCAGTTTTAGAGTCAGATTGCGACAGAATCTCTTCACGTCTGTTTCAAACAACCGATCCTGCACACGGAAGTGTATTCTACATTTGTAACGTCTTTTCGTTGAACCCATGCTTGAATTTTCTCTTTTAGCTTCTCAGTTATCATTAGCCTGCTTTTCATCTTCAATTTGGTATTTCGTTCAACATTGAATATTTTTCGTTGAGCTTTAGAGGTATGTGTTGATTTAGAAGATGCCTCGGATCAGAGAGATATGTCACACCGAGTGTCGGCTATCCATTTCAGAATTATTTTCGTCCGTGGTGGTACAGGGCTGTTTACTTTGTTTTGCTGTCGGCCGTCGGAGTTCTTGGCTGACTCCGAAATTATCTGAGAGACCAGATATCCAGTTATATTCACAATGTGGTTGATATCAATAATATCTACATCTCTACCTGGGGTCTGTACCATCTTTAATTTTACCAAATTTAAGAGTTCGCTGTCTCTATCACTCTCTTAACTTTGGAATTTTTGTATATTCTCCTCAACGGTGCACGATATTTGAACGGAAGTTGACGTACTCTTTCTATTCCGCGTGGAAGGAGATTTCGCATAGTGTCCTTACCGTGCGATTCATTGCCAGATGAATTTTTACCACTGACATATGTTTCGTTGCAAAGAAATATCAACAGAACTATCGTTCGATCGAAGAACATACTCCGTATTTCTCTGAATATTAGCAAGTTGTTCTGATGTGAACTTTCCACTGCTGAGTATCTATCGTTGTTGACTGGAAAGCTTCTTTGAATCTAGGGTAGCTCTCATATCTAGGATCCGCTTTCTCCATTCCTCGAAAACTTCAATTTCCGAGCCCCTATTTTTCGCTTTTGCATAGTAAAAGCACCATATCATCTGCTTCAGTTCATCACGTGTCCAACTCTGACTACAGCCGACTGGGTCCTTGGGACTAACATTGGTGGGATAGCCATATGTCGACAAGGTGACATTAGCTTGGTTTCTGAGCAGGTATGGGACATTGTTTGAACAATGCACGTTAAGCACGTAATTACATTTCTTGTTCTATCCATTTTGCTTATTGATTTTAAGTGAGGATTCACGGGAAGCAGGCCCGAGTTCACATATCACACTTAACCCATGGGTCATTTCCTGTCATCCTTTACTGCGACCCACAGAGGCCTCGGGACCTCCCCCCGCAGGGCCCAGCAAGGGGTTCCTCCGATCGCCAGCCGGACATTACTTTACCTTATGGGATTTTCACTGACTGCCGATGGCAGCCTCCTTCGCTGATTAATGCAAGGTTCGGGCCTCCACTCTAATCAGTGGCCAGGGTGTGCCAACCCAATTTCTCTCCTGTTTCCTCCATAGTCCGATAAAAGGACGTCCAGAGTTTCATGGCCCTTCCCTCTCTCCTTATTTTCCACTCTCCTCTGGAGTACTTCTGTGTCTGACCTCTCACCTTCCACCTGTTCAGCAAGGGAGGCCCTACCAGTAGCTACGCTACCGCCGGCATAGCTCTCAGGGGGGTACTCAAGCTCCACCGCCATCCTCAAGGTCATGTACTCACGATTATCATTGAGAGAAATATTAACTACATAAACCCGTAGGCCTACTAATCGCTCGGGAAATTCCAACATATTCATAAAAACAAATCTATGTTCGTAATTTTTCACGGTGTCGGTAAATCTTTCAATAACTGAACCAAAAATTGATAAATTGAATGTTTAATTTTTCCAATTAACTAATTTATAAATGTAATACACGATTATTTAAAAAAATAAATAACGTTTTACTACGCATTTCTTCTGTCTAGTATTTCAATATTGATAACCTAATTCCAATAGTTGTAAGTTACGTGTCCAAAAATGTGTGTTATATCTAATAACTGTTTTTCGTAATAAATCTTCCCTTGCCCTACCCTTAACTTAATTAAATCAACAACTGCATTTTTTCTTGAATAGGAGAGATTCCCATTTAAAGATTGAAACTTGAAGAGATAAATAGTTAACTGAAACATTTCTGTTTTTAATGAAAATTACTATCAACACTAGTGCTTTTCCAAAATAAAATTAATGAACAAAATTTGTATTTTTTGAATACTTACCAAGTTTCAACATTTGGGGCCATTTGTTGCGGCACAATTCACACATACGATTTGATAGCCCTTAGGCCAGATGTGGATTTGGTGAGCTAGGAAATATTTAGAGTTAGCATTTATACAAATAAAGTGTTGAAGGTCCACAAAATCTTGGTGGCTCGTACGTATCGTGAAGTAGGGTTTGTTCAACATGTAGGGCCTATAGGGAAAGAGTGAAAGATAAAATGTGAGAGCAATGTCGTTAGATCCTTTACAGCGGATTGTTTATATTATTGCAAAAATGTGGATATTCTGCTCGTGTTAACAGAAGAAATATCTGAGAATGACAGGAAAATTATTAGATGTTTGAACTGCGATTTATGGTGGTAATTTTTTTATAAGAGATCACTGTTGACTCTACAAATCACTTCTCTCGCTTCAAAGCAGAAATTCGTTTTCATTGTTCCAATGGTGCTATATAATTTTACATTCACGATTTCAGGGATATATATATATATATATATATATATATATATATATATATATATATATATATATATATATATATATATATATGTATGTATATTAGAGAAAATGAACATCTTCGAGAACGTGAACCAAGACGGAACAAAAACCTTTTTAAAACATTATCTGGAGTGGAAAACCTCCAAAGATAGATAGATCTCGACGTACTAAAAGAAAATAGTCCCATAAGCAACTAGCAAATGACATTTACCAGCCAGAGGCGAGAGTGCTGCCCTCACAAGCACTGGAACGACCTGTTCTGGATATCTCCATTTGTCATTCGTTAGCACCATGTGATTGACTATGAAGTGCTGCCATCTCTCGACGAATACTGCAACTTCATTGGCGTCATGGCCTATCTTGATTGCGACTGACGACCAACAGCTGTTGACCTTGCACGACATAAGAAACGAGGGAAGTATGGATTAGTAAATGTTATAGTCCTATTGATCGCAAATGTATTATATCCCGAAATTTTCGTGGTCAGAGGTATAAAATGAAGCATGTTAATTAGAACGTGCCATATTTGTATGCTTTTCCCTCGAGAATCCATGCAGACGAAAATTTGATATTCATACCGATTGGAGTTTTCTGTTCGAAGTACTGGGCGGATTAGACATTTTGACATGAGTGGAATTTACGTACCCCTGAAGTGTGGAATAAAATTTTCGCCTCCCGCTGTTGTCATATTGTACGAGGATACAGTGAAGAAGAAACATCGAAAATACATAATGCCGCTTAGAAACTTCAGAGCTAGCTCGAATGTAAATTTCATTGCAGAAGATCTTAAGGCTAGACATAACAAGGTACTGGAAAGTATCCCTCTTCTTACTGTAGAGAAGATGCTTCGCCTTTTGCAAGAGAATATTAAAGGTGTTGAACTTGATAAAGCTTTGGACCTAGTCAACAAGGAATTTTCTGTTTGTGATGATGAGGATCTAAACAAACTGAATGCTGAGACTATTAGGAGAAAAAAAGAAATTATGGACATGACATTCAATAAAAACAGAGTGAAACCAACTGATCCAAACTTTGTATATGACAAAAGAGTGGATTTTAGTGAAAGTGAAAAGAAACGTGAATCCGGTTGGGATACAGAAGATGTTGACGATGATTTTTGGAATGTGTCATGATGTTTTTTTGTTTTGAATTTGTAAATAATATAGCCTAAACGCTTCTTTGAACTAATAACATACATATCAGAATACTTTTCTGGCTTATTGCTAAAAAATAGTATATAGTGTAGATGTCAGACTTAATAAAGGTGGTTATTTATTACAATTGTGTAGATAACTATTTATACAAAATAATATTCTTTTTTTTCTTTTAACACAAATCATTATTTATAACAGTATCAAAATTTTACCTTATGAAATCTTAACACATTGTGAAAAACTGAAAAGAAACTACAAATCATTCCATTTTCAACATTTCAGCACCAATTTATTAAGAACCTGAGTGTCACAATCACCTCAAAAACAATTTTCTAGGTAGTACACATCATTCTCAATCATTTGACTTTTTACAATTATAAAACACTAAATACAGGTACAAAAATTTTGTCATACTATTTCTGATCTCAGAAACATCACAAAACAGGAACATAAAACACTGGTATAATAATAATATAAATTCAAACATTCTGCCTGATAGATGCAAGAACAAAATATATGAAATGTTTATTATATTTTTTAGCCAAGAAATGCACACTAAGAGTTAGTTTGTCATTAAGTAATGAACTTCACAATAATAGAGAAAAAGTAAAAAGATTATCATGCATCACATCCCAGAAAAAATAGTAATATTGTGTAAACCTGAGGCCATTTCCTTCTGTTTGAAATAAGACCATACCTCTTTGTAATGTATTTGACAAGTTTGCCCTCCTGCAAATTGTATGATTTTCCTCTGTTCACATAGAGATAATGAGTAGTTAGATTCCCTGACTTCATTAAAAAAATGAGAATTTTGTAAAACTGACTCTGAAAAACTATCCATAGAAAATATAAAACAATACAAATTATTTGGACAAGGTAAGACTGTAAAGGTGAAAAACTATGAACATAAGTTGAGGGCTTGACATTAAATACTGATTTCTCTATTATATATTTTTAGGGCTCATACTTAAAACTTGCAAGGTGCATCTGAAAACACAATTAAAAAGCTTATTTCCCCAAGTCATAGTATCTCCATTTCCATTGGTTTTGAAGTTTTACATATCAATATATTCTTATTACCGAAAACTTCTTGAAAATTATCTTCTTTTTTTTTTTTTTATTATGGAATTCTTAGTTGACTGGATATTTCCTACTTTATGAGCTATTACAAAAGTACCAACTTTCTGATCTGTCACCAGCTGGAAACTCATGAAAGGTCGTTTCTAAGATAGAAATTTTCATTCACCCTTGTCAAGCATATCATTGTATCTCCTGAACCAGAAATTATATTTTTGTCTGAAATATGAGAACGTGTTTTGTTTTGAAGCCAAATGTACTCTCCAAAATGCAAAACTTAAAAAATGAGGGGATTGCATTAAACCAATTGTGAAAATTATCATTTAAACAATCTCTAAGAAAAAGTACAATAGAAAATAACAGCAATACAACAAGAAATATTATGTAAATTGCTACTTTTTATTAAATTTTGTATTAAAATACAATTTAATGTGTTGTGCAGAAAAAAAGTCACTTAAATGTACTGATTATTCTGAGAGATGAGGTTTCAACAATTGTCAATTTTCTAAGTCGTAATTCCCTCAAAAATTAAAAAGAATCTTTTTTTTTTTTACGTTTCTTTGAGTAGATCCAAGAATCTACATAAATTTGTCAATAATGAATTAACTGCAATAATTAGGGATTTACCTCTTTTGAGTAGACAAGTACCTTCTTCATCATATCTGGAAACTGTTGAATACTATCTTGAACTGAGAGGCTAAATATGAATACTTTCCCTTCGTGAAAAATTGTATTTCATGGGGATGGGTTGGTTTGGAAATAAGCTCTTCAATTATGCATCACAATATTAACACAAACTCCTTACAAGGTTTTGATGCCACTCGTCTTAAAAATAATACACACTCTCTTCACTTTATACCAGATCATAAACATTTCCATAACATTCTGATTTATACAACTCTTACAAAGGGTATAGAAAGAAAAATGAGAAAAGAATGCACTGTTTTTTCTTGTTACATCAATGGTTTTCTTATCAGATATTTAAAGTAATCAAATTAGAATTCAATGCATGAAGATAAAAACAAATCAAAATAAAGGTGTAAATTTAGTGCATCTTAATTACAATATTTTCACAACTAGAATGTTAAGTACCTGTATAAAAATATTACCAATCCCTACACATGATAAATTCTCAATTAAAATTCTCACCATGATAATTGTCAAGTGCTTCAATCTATTCTTTATACAAAAGCACATTCATAATAATTCATACCGAGGTACATTAACTCGTACAAAATAAGTTGTATGATGTGCCGAGAAATTGTACGACAGTGAAAATGTATTATTAGACTGGACCACAAATTATTTGTCAATCTAAGTATTTAGTCGTTGTATTATGATCCAACATTTATACACACATAACTTAAATTGTTCAGCAAGTACAGGCAAGTAATAACCAACAACCTCATCAAAGAAAAAAAGTATTGTTTGGGAGACAAATTTTTCACGCACTTATATGAATTGTCAAGTAGAAATTCATGAAAAAGTAGTGATTAATGTTAAAATGATAATCTGAAAAGAAAGAGAAAAACACAAGTAGCTTGATGTGTATTTCTGTTTTTAGTACATTCAGAAACACACTCTTTCAATATTATGTTTCAAAACTTTAAGATTCATCTGGAACCTTGACAGAAATGTTTGCTATAAATAATACTCCAAACTTCATATCTATAAAGAAGATGAACTACAGCTATAGTCAAATTAACGAATCTGTCTACAGCAAAAATTAAGAAATAGTCATTGAAACAGGGATCAATGAATACTAGTTATGATATGATTTTAATATGAAATCAAAACTAAACTCACATAAGTAGCAACAGGAGTCATCCTTATCATGTAAAAAAAACAAAACAAAACAAAAAACAATTTCCATACAAAATAAAATACCAATATTTATATTTTCTGAAGACATTTTAAATAATTAGATCATTCATAGTTTTTACATCAAACTTAACATTTCTATGACTCTTAAACATTCCATATCTTTTCTTGAAGTTTAACTGAATACATAAATAATTCACATTCTAGTGTGCAATGATTAAACATTTCTATATAACAGAATTAGAGTACCATAGTTTTTAATGTCAGAAGATATACTAAATTATCCCACTTTGAATTTTTTGGTATTTGTTCATGTAAGTCAACAATATTTTTTAATAACTTCTTAATTTTTAATTTACACAGAAAGAGAAAACAACCATAAAGAGAAAAATAATAATGTATTGAAAAATTATTGTCCATGTGTCTACTGAACAGTTCAGCAGCAATTGTTACTCATAATATCATATTTTAGTTTGTTAAATGCATGTACACAGCAACAACAAAAACTATGTTGCTACAAAAAGTATTGCTACGCATAAAACAGCTATCCCTAGGCATATATGCATCAGCTAACATTGCATCTCTTCCAAAACATTAAAAAATATATTAAAAGTACCTTGATTAACAAGTGAACTGTATAGCACATCTACATTAACAATTATATAAAATTTAAACTGACAGATATAGCACTGCCTAACTAATTCTTTTTATTTAATTCATAAAAGAAATGAGATCTTTGAATAAAAAAATAATTTGTAATATATTTCTAATATTAAATGGTATGTAAAAAAAAATTATCTCTTCTACCTTGGCATTCCAGTCTTGCTTTCATATCTCCATCAATTATTATCAATAATACTATACAAATCATTTCACAAAATTTCTTCATGGATTTGAGGCAAAATGCACAATAAAAACACTGAATATTGATAAAACATTAATTCACTTGATTCAAAAAATAAAACCCTGGTTAAGAAAGAAAAATACAGTGTACTAATTTTGGAAAAGTTAAAGTGGAATTTATAATCAGTCGGATTGTCCGTATTTTCACAGTTACAGTTCTTTTAAGTAACTCTTTCACTATATTGAAAATGAGAAAGGAGAGGACACATTTTCAGAACAATTAAATAATATTAATCCATGGCACTTATTGAAATGACTTTTTGTGTTTTTAAAACAGAAATTAAGACTGTTTATGTGTATTAAAAGACCTCATCTTGGACTCACTTAAAGAAATTTTCTTTGTGTGAACAATTTTCGTAAATGAAGTGCAGTTGAGATTACAGTTGTAGAGCACTGATTATCAAATCACCACAAGCCATCTACCAAGGACCAATGTGGTGAATTTGGACAGCACTATTTACAATACTATGTATTATTTATGCCTGAAACAATTCACGATAGTACAAGGTAAGCTCTTTGTAATCACACACCATTACCTACAGTCTTTGTTTCTACAAAGAAAGAAAAATAAACAAAAAGTACTCGAAAACCCTTCGTTGAAAGTGCTTCATAGCAAGGATTAATATAGTTTTATCACTGACAATTTGTGCTCCTTAATTTGTTTCCTATTTAAAATATGAGAGGGGAAAATTTTAAAAAAATAATACTTTTCCAAAATAATAATCACTCTAATATGAAAATTAATAAGAGTGTGATTGACTATTCAGCTTTCAATTCACTACTGCTGTCATATATCTCTAAATGAAGTAACCACGGCTGTTTTACTAACATAAATAAGTACTAGGAGACTGTTGAATCTTTGAATTACATACTAATTTTATTTCAGTTTCTCAGGTTCTCAAAATATAATTATTTAAAGATGCTAATTTAGTACTGAACCATTTCTTTGATATTATTTATACACAACACATTTTGCATTTTTGAAAGAGAAAACTAAAATCTGAAAAAGTGTTCAGAGGTACATGATAGTCTTGTACCTTTGAACACAAACTTGTGTACCAGTGAACATCCAAAAGAAAGGGTTTTAGGAAAATTACTTGCATGTAATACGCAAGAAGTTTATGAAAATGAAGATCTCGTCTTACCATTGCATTTATCAACTATGCTTTATTTATCAATTATGTTTTTAGAATTCTTAACATTTTCTCCTATGTAATCAGCGAGATATTTTTGTGTATCTATGACTAATTCCAAACTGAACAAATGCAAAGTTGTCAACTTCAAAAATACTATATTAATGTATCACAGTTTCATTCTAATCTTGTTGTATTTTGCAGGTTCATAACTTCTTTAACATCATCAGAATAATTCTGAAGGACTATCTTTGTAATATCATGTACCTATAAAGTGTGCACAGGTACATTATGCAAAACAATAATGGGTACACAATGAAGTCTAGTTCAGAAAAAACTATGCTGTTATGATATCAGCTATGTTAAAAATGAAAATGATTGAACATAAATACAGATTATTTTAGTCGATTAACAACTGCTCTCATATTTGTTCAGTTTCACCAATCATTAACATAAAAAATTAACAATACAAAACAATATTTTTCAGAACAGAGAAATAAAAATATGTCTGAAAGGGTCAAATCAAGATTCTAACCAAGCTTATATTAGAATACTGGTGCCCTAAAATTGTACTTGACAAACTAATATGAATAGCAACTGTCACTGACAAAATGTAAAAGATAAAGTGTTCACTGAGTCAAAGGAACAACAGTCTCCCCCGCTCAAAAAAAGGGGGGGGGGCACATCTTTATTTTGATTCAAGCATAAATTAATCCTATCAAATCAAACATCAGTAGAACTTTAATTATCCAAACATGGCCATATCACTATTTAATTTAGATAATTTTAGTTCTACTTTACTTTAATTCACATTCTTATAATTCAGTAGAACCCTGGTAATCCAAATCAATTAGGGGTGCAGTCTGCTTGGATTCAGAAATGTTCAGATTATCCAAAACATGAACCATACATATATAAATACATCTATAAAATTACCAGACAATGCAACACATTTGCAATGTGATAAATAGGCAATGTAGCGGGCCGATCACATAATCACATTGCATCATCAAGCAGATTCAGTTCCTTATGACAAAAGAAGACCAATTTTGAAAGTTCCACAAAGTGAAATTACTGCTATATAAGTGATATACACTGTAGTTACCAGTTCAAGAAACGTTTTATTTTGACAATTTGTGTTTGAATAATCAGTTGTTCATTTCTACAGTAATTATAAAATCCTTTCTTTATACTTTAAAGAAGCATTTTATTTATTTTTTCTTCATCCCTAATTTTGTTCGAATAATCTGAAATTTCTGATTTGTGGGGTTCGGATTAGCAAGGTTCTACTGTACATTGCAATTTCTTTTTCTGTTGAAAATACATTCTTTATAAACAGATTACAAAATGGTATGAAAATACAGATGAAAGAAATCAACCTGCCTCTCCCTTAATACCAATGTAATGTGGGCAAAAACTATAAACAGTACAAATAAAATTAAAAACCTTAGTCACGGTTCTTACGTCTTCTCTTAGGTTCAGGAGCAGAATTCAGACAAATGAGTCCCATAAAAGAGTGTCCATCACGCAGAATCATTCTTCGATTTCTATCTCGTTGGGTAATGTATACCTGGTTGGTAGCATTTAAATAACGAATTACTGCAGTGTAGCAACTTACTTCCGAGACTCCACCTTCTGGAACTACAGCATTACTACTGCAATAAGCTATAGGTTTGGCAGGTGCATCTTTCTCTCTCACGTTTATTACATAAGTGTTCAGAGGTTCTGTTGTTAAATAGTAAACCTGAAACAATCCAAAAGATGTAGAATATATAATTAACAAAGCATTAATCTTAGCTATACACAGATGGCCAAATTATTTAACTAGTTATTGAATAAAACAAAATGTATTTGAGACTAGATACTGACAGATTCTTTGTACACGGTTCTAATGTTTTGCAAACATTCCAAAATTAAGATCCTTTTTCTGAGGTATGTTGAAAATCAATTTTTTATCTATTCTTTCAATTTCATTGTAATTTTGAGTCACACAAATGAGTTGTTTTATGAGCTGGATTTTTTGGCCTTCTTTTCTTAAATTTCTTTTAACCATTGAATGAACATTTTCAATGGAATTCATGTCGGGTCTTATTTGCAGCCAATTGGAACCTAGACTGATTAATGTCTTGAAGATGTTTTCCAACTTTCTTTCCTGTTGTGATAGGGAGCATAGTCATTTTTTTTTTTTTCCTAACTCATTTACATGAGGGAACCATTGATTCTTTAGCGCCTCCAAGTAGTGGTTGTGCCACATTGTTAATGTTATTGGAAATGTATACACAGTTAATGGTACAAACATTACACTTCAAACAGTTACTATTGTCAGGTGCTTCTCAAGACTCATTATAATTAATTAAGCCAAAGAAAACATACTTAGTTATAATTTGGTAACCTCTTTATATTTCAAATACCAATGGTGAAACACATTATATTTAACTTAAGTACTGTTTGGTATTCCAGACACTTCAAACATTGTAAAGCATCATCATATATCAAAGCTGTTTTTTCTGGACAAAAAAGAAAGATGTTACAATGAGGGAGAGTTATCTTCAGGAAACACTTAGACTCTGATGTTCTGAACAGAGACAAATTTTTAGCTTATTATGGCGGCTGAAGAAACACTGAAACTTAATCTCCACCTAAGATTGTATCTTAGAGTGTCTTAAAAAAACCTTTTTAGTTAAAAGCATTGCCAGGGATTTTTCCCATTATTTTGGTCCTAATCGATAAAATACGAAGTTTCAGACTTCTGATTTAATAGGAAAGTTTGCCTTTAAAGCTCTAAAATTTTAACAATAGTTACAAAAATGCAAAATTTTTAGAATTTGTTTATAAATATTATAAGAAAATCATTGTATTAAATATAGATTAATTTGGTTTTTATGGACATGTTTACGTGTCTAATGGTATTAAATATACATATATATAAAAGAATGTAAAGATACATTCTTTTATATATATTACAAGAATGTAAACTACAACACCGGTCAAAAGGATAACCTACATGTTCCCCACTCTCAAACTATACTTTATCAAAAAAGTACCCTAATAGAGGGCATTACACTTTACAACAAACTAAGCAATGATATCAAAGACATAAACACAATTCATACATTTAAAAGTAAATTGAAAGTTTTCCTGCTTAACAACATGTTCTACAGTGTAAAGGAATTTTCAAATTACATTTCCCTTAAAAAAATGTAAATAAATAAGAATTTCGTATCCCGTTAGACTTTCTGTTTCATGTAAACTGTTTCGAGCTGAAGCAAAGAAAAAAGAACTGGCATATCGCATCCTGTGAAATAGAAGGAGAATGCCTGACCAAAAATGAAAAACTGGTCAAAATTTGCCTCCTCACCATTTCAAGTTTTAAATATAGAATGTACTACTATTGTTAGATTTGATGTAGTTGCAAACATAATTGATATGTATTGTTCCAATATTATTATTATTGTAATTATTATTAATATTATTATTATAAGTAGTAGCATTAAAATAACATCTTGAAATGTTAATTATTAGCAGATAATTTATCTACTGTATAATGTCTTAATCTAACTGTAATAAGTATTGTATTTCTAGGCCAATGACCCCATCTCGATCAGGTTTTGTTCAGTTTCCCTGGTCCTTTGAGCAAATGCTGAGATGGCCCCTTGTTTGCTCCTGAACAGAAATGTAACTTTGCTCTCTCCACCCAAGGCATCATATTGACTCGTCATTCACGATTGTAATTGTATATGTGACTCAATAAATATTATTATTATTATTACATTATAATCTTTGACATAACACTAAAGTTATTACATCAAACAAAAAAAAAGTTAAAATATACACAATAATGAATTGGCCAATGAATTGGTACATATTCCAACACTTGTTAAATAATATCATGTCATTGCTTTACCAATGTTAAATTTGATTCAGAACTGACTTCTCAAAACAAGTTTTTTTCCTAATTAATTGAAACTGAAGCAGATTTTGCATTTCTTCTGAATTTTTGATTATCAATTGACCAAAGTCCTACATTAATTTTACCCCTCATATGGCTGCAACATATTTTTCTCCATAAACATTTTCATTTATTTAAATTTGAACTCTTCTTTAAAGGCTTTTGGTTTGTATTTCAACCAGGCTCATCTTCTTCTAAAATCGAAAAAATATTAGTTGGTATTTTTATACAGCATAATATTGGATAGTACGATCATAAGGTCCTTTTTAAGTAAGTGACAATACAGTACCCATTAAAACAGTTTAAAATATTTACAAATATTACATTTTACAGTGTTTTGAAAATTTAATACTACAGGTAAGCGTTTCACTTAACTTAAGGGCTCTATGTTAGGGTAAAATGAAATGGGAAAATTACTGAGGAGTGAATGATTAAAAATATTGAAGACACTCTTATGTAATGTGATAAGCTGTCAAATGAAGTGGTTGATTTTAATTTATTACTGCATTCAATTTTATATTCTTCTCTGAGTCATTATTGTGAACAAACAGTATGTGCTCAATGGTGTTATTGAAAAACAACAAACTTAGAATTGGTGCCAATTTGCAAGTATTGGCACTTGCTTTTTCTCTAGTGGTTAAGGGTAGATTTATTATGTTTTGTGATTACTGTGCCACAGAAGGATGACCATATGAACATACATAAATTAGTTTTAACACAGCAGTAACCATATAAAATTTTGGCAAAAATTCTATATTTTTCTAACTCCTTTTAAAACTATTGCGTTTTACAGGCAAACTTTCATGTTAAAAATTAGGGTTAAAAATTTATTTTTTATGTATTAGGAATGGAAAACTCCTGGGGAGTGATGTTTTTAACAAAATAGGTTGTTCTTTTTTTTCCAATCACACTATTGTACATAGTAACCACAATTTTTTTTTTTTTTTAATATTCACTTTTTTCCCCCCTGCCCAAATGAAACTACACCTTCTTGCATATGTAGATGATGTGGTTAGGATTCAGCAAACTAAAGATATGCCGCAAAGAGGGATATATATACATCACAAAATATATGTGAAGATTATAACCATAAAATATCTACTAATAAAACTAAAGTGATGGCTTATAATGGAAAATATCCTGTCAAATCAAAAATAGTAATGTATGGAAAAACTGATGAGCAAGAGTCCAGTTTTAATTACTTGGGATGTGAAGAATCTTTTGTATCTGACGATAATGATGATGTTACAAACAAACTAAACAGAACAGAACTTTGCAGAACAATTCACAGAATCCTTGAACATAAAACTAGAAAGGAAACCAGAAAATAATAAAATAAAAATAAAGAGAGCCATAGAAATGAGATTTCTTCTATCTGTAAAAGGATAGTTCCAGGCATGTCATCTAGTAAGGTCATCAGTCTTGTAAGTATAGTCTTTTGCATGGGAGGTGGCTATGGTCTTCCCCGACTGGATGGCAAGAATCAGCACCAACCTACTGTCGGCTAGTGGGGTTTTCCCTAACCAGGCATCTCTCACCAGCGGGGCACTGCCCCAGCCAGGGCAAGCTTTAAGCTCCTAACCAGTCTCCCGGCCTGTGGGGTAGTGTAGTGCATCATAGTATAAGTGTGCAGAGGGAGGGTGAGGATAGGTCAAGGAAGAGATAGGAACATTTGAGCATGGTCTATTGCCAGTTTGTTAGAGTACTGCTCTGGCATTCGCCTAGTGTTGATCAGAGAAACCATGGAAAACTACTGATCAGAACAGCAACTGAATTCGACCTAGCTGCCAAGCTAGAGTCAAAAATCCTACCACCAAAATTAGGAGTGAAGAAATTAGTAAAGTTACAGATATTTAGTCTAGAGAAGTTCATGACACTAAAATGAAGTGGTGCAGTCATCTGGAGAGGATGAGCAGAAACCAAATTCCTCAACTGAGAGAATCTGAGTGTTAAATTTATCAGAGATGAGCTCTCCAGTTGTGCAGTATCAAGCAACATTCCAAATGATATTAGAGATGTTAAATGCGAACTTTACCAATTAAAAAATAAATTCTAGAGATAGGGTAGAGGCTAGTGCCAAGAATTTGAAAGAAAAGTCAGAAAATCTCAATATTTTTGCTCCTAGTCAAAGTATTTTTGCTAATATTTATTTCCTAAGAGCACATATCTGATCTCTATCACAGGTGCCTGAGCAAAGCTACACAATGTCTCCATAATAAATATTATTTAAATTTTGTTAATACTTTTTGCAATAGTCTTTCAAAACCTGGCTTGAGATCGTATAGATTACTGAATTCAACTAAGACTACTAAAAATTATGTATATTATGGTCCGAAAAATAGAATAGCGAACCTAGTAAATGAATATTGTTCCAGCATAAACTTCTTTGGGGGATCCACATCATCATTCTCGATACAGATAAAGAAAATTATACACAACAGATAATGTGTTATGTTTAAAATATTTATTACGAAGATTGTAAACACAACGATATGATGTGATACTTACGGTTTATAATCTCAATTTAATTAATTTAATTATATGCATCGATTGGTTGTATTTAGAAATTGTTATAGTGTATTGGATGTAATTGTGCAGTGTGGTATATAAATTGTTACCTATATGTACAAAGCCGATTGGCGTGAATAAGTAAAGAAATAAATAGTTTAAGAATACATTCCCATTAAAAAGTTGTAGCATTAATTAAATCCTGCATTGTTTTGTAAAGGTATTGAACTTCTCTAGAAATTTTGTACACCAACACGTTCACTGTAATCATCTTCAATTTATGTGTATTTTCTCCATGTACATAACAAACATTTCAACTACTATATAATTGATATGCATACATTTAAAACAAAGAATTCCCATCGATTCTCACAGAAACGTAATGAAGTCCCTGGGTCTCCCAGGCCCAATACGAGCATTCCTGTTTGGAAATTCAGTGTGAGCTCTGCTACAAGTACTATTCATGAATATTGTATTTCATTCAATGAAATCAGTTATACTATCACATTACAAATAGTGCAACATTAAGACACACACATCACAAACTGTGCTAAGATAAATAGGATACTTCGATACTTACTTGAGCATATATCAGGTACAAGCCTTCTTCTGTCACTTCTATAGTGCCTTTGCCTTCTCGAAATTCATATTTCAATGAGAAAGCTGCAGAAGCTTTGTCATCAGGAAACCATGGAGCAAGCAAACCTGTAACAATCAATACACATATGAACTCTATAATATCTTTCCAATTGTAAAAAACTATAGGGAATGTCAATCAAGGAATTTTGAGACTTACTACCTCCATCCCGAATGTATGTTTCAGGAACCCCGCCTTTGAAATGAGATGCTACAGGACCTGTTGAAATAATACAAAAATGACAAGACTGTTTGTATACTGCAAGTCTGTAATGAAGTTAATGAAATGTCATTGAAGCAGGAATGTGTTAGTACACAGGCAGGAGAGGATGCAGGCAGGCACAGAATTGGGCAATACCCCGAATGTTGGGTTTCTTGTTTGGATGAACACGACGCCTTGTTGTTGACTTCCGTCCACTTTGTTTACCTCTCATATTTGAACGCTTGGTTCTTCTACTTCGGACATCCCATTCTTTGCAGAGTTTGAAATACTCTGGAAAGTCTTCAGCATTAGATGACACCACTTGAGAACATAACTCATCACTAGGTAGCAATTCTGATGCTGGAGAGGCTGTTGTGCTATTTTCAGGGTCTCTTGAAATATTTTTAGTGGTCTCATCGTATTCAACATCTAAATAATCAATCATATTTTCAGGAAGATTAAAATTAGATGATTGAGAATCAAGATGTATATCTTCTTTATCTGTGGATCTATCAAGCTCCTCAAAACTTAGCTGTTTTTCATGATTTTGTGCTTCCTCAAAATCCCATTTCTGATTAATAACATTTTCAATAAATTTAAGTTTATATCTAATAATTCTAAGAGAGGAATCATATTCAGTCCTCAGAGCTTCAAGATCCAACTGTAAGTCACCAATTTTATCATCACAAACGTTTCCACTTCCCAAAGTAACAATTAAACAAATAAGAGCAGCTACATGAGTAGTAAAAAATATAGCTCCAAAAATAATTTTGTTTACTTTAAAATCATGTTCAAGCGTTCTACAGATACATTCATTCTCAAGGCAAGAAACTATACCTGAAAAACAAAAACATTGTAGTTATGAGAGTCAAATCTATTGTATTTCATTCGATTTACATATTAATTAAAGCAGCTGTGGTCAGACAATTATTACTTACGAGATTTATGAGTAATCGGGAACCCCTTTTCCAATTGCACATTTTGCTTTTCATTCTTATCAATTTTCATTATCACTAGAAATAACATTCGCTCAAAGGTAAAAATAATTCTAGATAATTTTATACATCAATATTGAAATGTAAATAATTTACCTTTGATGAACTGTCACTGACACTGAGCTTAATTGAATTAGGCTCATAAATAGATTTCTTGCAACGAAAACAAAGCACCTGTTGCAAGAACTTTGATGTAATTTTTATTTTCAAAGGTTGATAATCACGGGTGCTGATACTCCCGTTGAAAAGCTCAATGAAAAAAAAATGTTTGGCGCGCTTGGAACGAAACGGCCTTGAGTCACTGCATCCTAGAAGGAAGAGTACGGCGTGCATGTAATCTCAACACAACACTTCCCTAACCCACATCCATTGTCCAGATGGCTGAACGAGTTCTTCCCGCGGAAAGTGAGGACCCGGAAACCATGCAAGGGAGCAACTGCGCAAAACTAAACACCCTGCCATTACCATAAATTCTGTTTTGCAGTAGTACAACGGCTCCTCTGTGTTGGGGTGAGCGGATTGAAAGCCTCAGATTTCATAAAGCAGATACGACGCGAAGGCTACATCGGTTTATCGCTTGGACGACCTTGGGGAGAATGCAACAAGCCAAGAAGCTCACAATGTTGCAGTGTGGCAGCAGCAAACTCTTACAGAAACATTTGCAAATCGCAGTTCCTCCTCGCGGGAGATTCACCGAGATATTCACACCTTTCGTTCATTCATTGTGCACCTTTTTCGTGTTTAATGGAATCAATGAAGTGTATACAAAAGGTAATAAATTTACCTTGGCTACTGTAAAGAAACAAGAATTAAGTTCCGTTTGCAGTCTCAATTAAAAGGTGAGGCGTTTTGGCAATTTATTTTTCGATATATCTGTCACTCAAACGAAATTTTATTAGACTTCCTTCCTTTTCAAGCAATTATTGAATTATGATTTTACTGTAACGCTTGTGGCACGGGTTTTACAACAGTTCTTCACCAGTTTACGAACATTTTCAAACATGAACTATACTAGCCTGCAAATACTTTTTCTCATCATGCAAAAATAGTTAAGATAATGAAGTGAATGATATAAAGTAATATAAATAGTTCATGCAATTTGTACACGCGCAATTTGTTCTTGAAATTTGTTTAATGCTTTCTTTCGCTGCTGCTTTCGTTCTTGTTTATCAATTCAAGGGTGTGTGGATCACGAACATTTCGATTATCAAACTACCTACTCCAAGAGCACATAATTTCTTGCATTATTGGAAACAGTTACATATAATATTGCAATTCTGCTGTACTTTTAAGTGATGGTTGGCCATCACTTAAAGAAGTCCAAACAAAGCCAGCTACTGATCAGATGACATATGACGTAAATGTAGCTTCACTATGCGCACGTTTTATTGAACTCTCCTTTTGCTTATTGTGGTAGGATTAGAGGTAGAGATGAGTTACTATTTTGTCAGCAAAGCAAAAATATCAAATTTGCAGTTCGTTTACCGTTGCAAATAAGTTTAACTCGGGAACGACAATGTCTAGCTTTTCAAACGTAGCTAATCTCGCGCTTTTTTAAATTTTATTTTGATTTATTTATCTGTAACTTTTACTCATCTTTCAACTATTCATATTTAAAACGATGGGCAGGGATTCTGGAACTCAAGAAAACGTGCGCATCATCTCGTGATCTTCTCCCTCATACGTCACGTACAGTTCTAACTGTTTTTTGACTAAATAAATAAATTAAAAGTGCATTCGGTCCAAATCTGCAACTATTTCGATAACAAGCCACAGTAATACTTCAACGGCAGAAACAAACAAATCACAACTGTTACAGTAGCATTCGCAGTACATTATACATCAGCAAGCATAATTTTACATAAGTCTTCCTTGATTACATTGAAGTTAGAAGCCAATGTTTACTTAATTTTTTACTTTCAACCTACTTCTGTAGAAAAGAAAAAGAATTGTAATTCTGCTGCGGAAATCAGCGATTTTTCGACAGAAAAATTCGTATTGCTGGCAGATCATTGAGGGAAGAATCCTTACTCTTTGGATGGGCTCTAGTAACGAAAATTGATAAAATATTGTTCTTGTGTATTGTAAATTATTTCCTCTAGTACGTTGTACACTCAAAAATCTACGTTATGCGGGTACTCGATACTGACACTAAGGCATCAATAGCACATACTTTCTCGCATTATTTGTAACTTTTGCAATTTTCGAACATTCAGAGTTCAACGAACATGGTACCTGCGTCATTTTTCTAAACGTCCTCTGCTCCATTCATGGAAAAAAATTAAAGGAAAAATTTGGAGCCCTTTTGAGAGGAAAATTGCATTTACTTTACGCAGAAAATAGTGAAAACTGCTTGTTTTTTTAAATTCACATGATCTTTTTTAAAACTGTTTTTTTAAATAGATTTTATTTAAGGAAACAAGTCTTTCATCAATGTAGTACTTTCGCAAAGTTATGTATTGCATTTTCGAAAATGCTGAGAGTTTGCCGAAAATGGAACCAGACCAATTTTTACTTCATTTTTCTACATTCGACAGAAATTTTAAGGAAAACATTTTAAAGAAGCCATTTTTGTGAAAATAACCATTTCAAATTGGCCATCTTTCACGCTATATAATGTGAAAATTATTCAAATTTTCGAAAGATTGTACGTGATATTATTTTAAGATCTATCTTTGAATAACACATTTTAATAAGAAAAAATATCTTTAATGTAGGTTTGGGAAGACGCTGAAAATTTTCTGGAATTTTGCAATTTTAATAAAATCCAGAGATTTTATCGAAAATTGAGATTGCGCCAGCTTTTAAGTTTTCTTTTCGCTAACTGTAGACAAAGTTTAATTTAAAAATTTGGAGGCATTTTAGGGGAAATTTTGAAAAAGCTGTTGTAATGTAAATGCACGCTTAATGTAAAGAACTCACAAAAAAGAAAAGAAAAAAACAAAACAAACAAACAAACAAACTCGCAGAGCCTTTGAAGGACAGGGAGTTAATTTAGGTCGGTGGGGGAATACCAGTTTAGGAGAAGATCGCGTGAACGGTTAAGGCGTATCAGAAAAAAATATTGTTTAAAATTCACTTACCACAAATGAATATTTACTGCTGATTCTTTACCAACACCTTAGTTCCTTTTTTGCAAAAACAAATTGTGAGAACACGGCACGACACCACTTCGAAATCCACTGCACACTGATCTGCCAGACAAAAGCCAAAGATTGTGGTTAGTGCGGCTTCGACCTTCCACCCCCGCCACCCCTTCCACCCCTCCCCTCCCCTCTCCTCGCCCACAAGGCCACCCCGCTAGGCTGCTTCTCGAGCCGTTGGAGGTGGTGAACAAGCTCTTCACACTACCCTCCCTCTTGCCCAAGGCTGTTTGACCATTCACGAAAAACTTGTTGGGTTGAAGTCGCGTTCTGAATAATTCAAATGCGATCATACTAAAAGCGGGGAAGAGCAGGTGGGAAAACATGCTTAATGAATAAAATTGAAATTAGTTTCAAAATAAAAATAAAATTTGTGCGAAACACGTAGGGGTTTATGCAAGATACGAATAAAACATAAGTAATTTATGAATGAATTGTTTGATTGTTAGAAATACGAGAGAATATCACAGTAAGCAATAAAAATACAATTTTGTATGGGATTTTATTCAATCATTTTTTAAAACAATTTTAAGTGCAGTTAAGAAAAAGAAATTAAAGAATGACAGAAAAAAATGTTTTTTGAGAATTTTGTTTTGTAAAATTGCTTTTGTTATACACAAAATTACGCGAAAACTATGTTTTGAAAAAAATATACATAGTTTTATTTAAAGATCTATGTTTTAAGAACACATGTTATTACGAAAAAATCTCGATCTTCAATATTGTTGTAAGAAGACGCTAAAAATGTTTAAACTTCGTCAAATTTCAAACATTCAACGAAAATCGGATCTGCGCTGTTTTTATTATATAAATGTTTTTATTGTATCAGCGTACATTCGAGGAGAAGAAAATAAATTAAAAAGTTGAAGCCATTTTTGAGAAAATTTTGAAAACGTTGTTGGACGCGTCATGTAAAATACGCTCGGGAATCAATATCCTTCGTTTCTAATTCAAGCACCACATCAGCCAGATCGGTCATTGAATATCAATTTTGATGAAAATCTGTCTTTGGTTTACGTCTACATTGTTCACAGACGGACAGACGTTTTGCCGTGAACAATTTTCTGGTAACAACAACGCACAGTATTCTCATTAAAGAATGTGCTAGAGGAAGTCACTTGCTTCACATAGGAGTAAGAATTAACAATTTTTCCGGTAACAAGAACTTGCAAAATGTTCTTTTTTTTTTCTGTCGAAAAGTAGCCGTTTTCCCTTGTAGCATTGCAATAATTTCTCTATACTGTATGCGGTGAAGTAAAACGACCAGTTACGCATGGCACCATACAAAGTATGAGCTGTTAACATAGTACTTTGAAATACCAGTCAAAACTACGATCAACTCGTTTTGTTAGTACGTTACATCGCTCTTGTGAGAATCTAACCGTACATTCATGTACAATGTAATTGTACAGTAAAAACGCTTATAACGTAAAAAACGATGCAGATCCAATTTTCGTGGAATTCTCTGAATTTTCAAAAATTGAGATAATTAAAAATTTGTTCGGCGTCTTCCCACAACTACAACGTATATCTACAATTTGCTGCATATTCATTGACCCTTCGTTCTAATTGCGCCTACTCTCGGCCCCTTCGGCAACTCGCTCCCCTCACAACGCGCTTTCGCCCCGGCCATGGCCAACGGGAGCGGCCATCTTCGTGTACCTGTGCCTGCTCTTCCCGGAAGGCGGCGTCTGGGCACCCACCCAGCTCGTCGCTTGCAGACTTAACAGCAGCGATGAAGAATGGAAGCGTTTCGGCTGGATTTAAGCGCATACCGCTCGTGCCATTGTCGTTTATTCGGACCTTTTTGCAAGTGAGCCGTGCGCTGTGAATGCCGATTCCTGGAGACAGAGAAGAATCCGCGGAAGGTGCAGATGAAGGTCAAAATGCCTGAGCTCAGGTAGAATCTATTTCCCACATTGTTCAGCGGACAAATTTCAACAAGATAGGATTAATTTATGGGATGTGAAATTATACTCATCATAAAATCATTCCCCTTCCTTTCCTGACGAAGCGATATAGTAGTAAAGGCAACGAAATTAATAACTCAATATTAATGAAATGCAGTATTTTGTAATTGTTTTAAATAGTCTTTTGGCTAGACTAGTGTGCTTACGTACTTCGGTAATTGCAATGCTTTGCCACGGAAATAATGTAAAATAACATTAAGTTATTCATGTAATTATTGGCCTGCTAGTGATAACAAGAATTACTGACTGGAATAATGTTAACTAAACTATTCTTGTTACTTATAATCTTTGATGAACTACTCACTTAGCACCTTTCTTCATTTCGCTGTAAAATATTTTGAATTGCAATAATTTCAACAATTAAATGAAGACATATTTTCTTTAGAAGTAAGGCGTTATGACAAACAAGTTCAAGAAAGTTGTCAAATAATGGATGTCAAATTAAGTGGTGATAGAGAAAACAGTTGATGCAGAAAGCATTTCAATGAGGCTTCTCGAAATTGCAGACAGATGGGAGTTTTGTATATCCGCGGATTGGATGAAGAGAATGTTTGTTGTGAACTACGTCAACGATGACATCCGCCTTCTGACTTATCTGT